TGCGAAATAATGAAATGTAATGTTCATCAGATGATATATTCTACTCCATTCTTCGTCTGTCTTTTATTTTTGTATTTTTAAGAGTTATCATGCAACACTGTGCTACTTCATTTTTGTGTTATTAGCCCTGTGAAGCCTTACATATGCAATTATAGATTTTTAAAAAGGGAACAGTTTGCATATGTGTGTTTTGTTGATGAGCGTATTCAATATTATATATATAAGCGTTTTTAGCTCATATAGTATGATATATATATGAGAATATGGAGTTTATGCTTCAGGAGAAACCCCCCCCCCAAAAAACCCTCCGTTTTATTTAGAGTCCTAAACTGAGCAGTTTGGTGCAGCTGCTGATATTTATATATATGGTCTAAAAGAAGGAATTCTGATAGCTTGTAATGTTAATCAATGAGATCTTTATAAGTGTAAAACTGACAACTTGCATACATTTATATCAATCAGTGATTATAGGAGCCCCTACCAAGTATTGAGTACATGTACAGTAAATGAACATACTTTCCAGAAGGCCAACAATTCACTAAAAATGTTTTTTGATTATTATTATTTTCTTATGAAGTATTCTAATTTGTTGAGATAGTGAATTGGTGGGTTTTTGTTAAATGTGAGCCAAAATCATCACAATTAAAAGAACCAAAGACTTAAACTACTTCAGTCTGTGTGCAATGAATGATTTAATACACGAGTTTCACAATTTGAGTTGAATTACTGAAAGAAATGAACTTTTCCATGACATCCTAATTTATTGAGATGCACCTGTATATTTCCCAATAACATGTCTGAGTATGGTGATATTTAAATGCCTAGTTTTATATTCAAAGCTCTGTAGTTTTTAGGGGGCAAAACTTTTAATGTAATGTAATAAATGATGCCTGAGCAAAAAAAAAGCACTCACATTTTAACATGATAAAAAAAAAAATATATATATATATATATAGTATGGATAATCAAGGAAACCTACGATGCTTCAGTCCATTAAGGGTTTATCTTGAAACATCAGTAACAATAATAAAGTTATTCTTGTGTTTACTTCATAAAAATCAGTAAAGATTTCACAGCAGAAAGACACATGAGCCATGACCTTAAGGTGGACATTTTTTATAATTATACTAAAATGCCTTCTTATAAATGATCAATTAGATGGCATAAAGCATTTAGTAGATTGTTTGTGAACCAGTATTTTTTTAAGCAAAGTATTGATTATGTTAATACTTTAGAGGCCTTAGAAATGTGCTTATCAAATATAATGCAGTAGGCTTTATTGGGTAATTTGAACTATGTTTGCTGTGTATATTTCTTCATTTCCTGTGTTACTGAAAAGCCTTCTTAAAGCACAAAAACCATTGTATCTGTGTAATGACACACTGATGTTTTCTCATAGGTCTTGCTGAAGACCTCCGCAGGTGATGTTGATATCGAGCTCTGGTCTAAGGAAGCTCCCAAGGCATGCAGAAACTTCACTCAGCTCTGTATGGAGGGTAGGTGGCGTCATATTTCGAGATTTGCACACATAAAATACAAACAAGACAAGACACTTGTCATGATGTCATGTTTTTAAATGAAATACCTTGATTACTCATAAACATTTACCTCTGTTTCGCAGGTTACTATGATGGCACAATTTTTCATCGTGTGGTGCCAGAATTCATTGTTCAAGGAGGAGACCCCACAGGCACTGGGACGGGAGGGGAGTCCATCTATGGCCGCCCTTTCAAGGTTGCTTTTGCTTTTGTTATTCACGAGATTAAGTGGATGTGCAATTGGCATATGTATAAGAATGTGCAGGAAAGCACGACTGAAAAGGTTATTGTATTTAACGGTTTGTTTTTTTTCAATGCAGGATGAATTTCACTCCAGATTGCGCTTCAATCGGAGAGGTTTGGTTGCTATGGCAAACGCAGGACCTCATGATAATGGCAGCCAGTTCTTCTTTACTCTTGGACGGGCTGATGAACTCAACAACAAACACACCATTTTTGGAAAGGTGAAGAATATTTTATGACCCATTTAAAGGGGTAGTTTCCCAAAACTGACAATAGGCCAGGATTTTCTGCTAAATAAACAAAACAAGAAAATTTGTTTAGGTTTTTTTTTTTCCAGCAAGGATGCATTAAAGGGGTCATATGATGCGATTTAAATTTTTCCTTTCTCTTTGGAGTGTTACAAGCTCTTGGTGCATAAAGAAGATCTGTAAAGTTGCAAAGATTAAAGTCTCAAATCCAAATAGATATTCTTTATAAAAGTTAAGACTTGTCCACGCCCCCCTAAAACTCCTCGTTCTAACACGCCCCCACATATGTACATCACTATGTGGGAAGATTTGCATAACGCCGCCCAAATGTTCACGCAAAGAAAGAAGGCGTAACTTTTATTCTCGCTGTAGTATTGCATGGTTTTATATTTGCGCGTAAAAAGACAGTATAAGTCATTATAATCCGTAATTATGTGTCCCCACTGGATGCAACGAATGCCTCGTTTATAATGGGTTTTAATGTTTATGTCTCGTCGCTCCGGCCGGACACGGCATCACAGTATGGTGAGGGGCATAATATTTCCGTCACACGCATGAGGTATTCGGCCAATCACAACGCACTGGATAGCTGGCCAATCACAGCACACCTCGCTTTTCAGACCGATGAGCTTTGTAAAAATCGACGCGTTTCAGAAAGGCGGGGCATAGAGGAGAAACAATAATGTACAGTATGTGGAAAATAATGTGTTTTTTTAACCTTAAACCGCATAAACATATTTCATTACACCAAATACACCAAATAATGTTCTTTTTAGCAACATCATATGACCCCTTTAACTTAATTAGGATTGGCTTTTTTTTTTTATAATGTTGTAAAATATTTCTACATCACATAAATGCTGTTCTTTTCAATTTTCTGTCCATTAGAGAATCCTGAACAAAAAGTATTCGCATTTTTCAGAAAAATATGAAGCAGCACAACTTGTATATCAGTTTTCAACATTGATAATAAACAGAAATGCTTCTTGAGCATCAAATCAGCATAATATAATGATTTCTGAAGGATCATGTGAGACTGGAGTAATGATGCTGAAAATTCAGCTTTGATCGCAGGAATAAACTACATTTTAAAATAAATTTAAATAGAAAACAATTATTTTAGATTGTAATAATATTTAACAATATTACTGTATGTTTGATGAGATAAATTCTGCTTTTGGTGAGCATAAGAGACTTTTTTCAGAAATATAAAAAAATCTTACTGGCCTTGAATTTTTAGTGTACAGCAAAATAAATGTAATTTCTATGTGAGCTAGGTCTTTGCACACTGAGTCCGAAATTCTTGTCTGATATTTTCACACTTTAAAAAATAAATACGACCTCATGCTGTGTCAATCACGTTTACAAACTGCCTCCGAAACTTTCATCCATCATAAAAAAATTTGGATCAGGTTCGATTTTCTGCGTTTTCGCATCTGTAGCAAGCATTTTGATAGGAAAGGATGACAAATACGAGAAAAAAAAAACTGAATTCTAAAATTTCGGACTTTTACTCATTTATCCAACCATATTGATTAGCATATGTTGCTGTTTTTATTTATTATTTGTTTTATTTATTATTTTTGTTTAATTAATTTCACAATTTATGTGTTGTGCTTTTGGCTGCAGGTCACAGGAGATACAGTGTATAACATTCTCAGGCTAGCAGAGGTGGAGTGTGACAGAGATGAACGGCCGCTCAACCCACACAAAATTCGATCCACAGAGGTTTGTTCAGTCCCATCACGAACTGGCTTTACCGTTTTAATTTGATTGACCTTTGTTTTCATATGGAGTCGTTGGTTTTGTGCAGGTCTTACATTCTCCCTTTGATGATATCATTCCACGTGAAATTAAAGTTAAAAAAGAGAAAAACAAAGGAGAAGGGAAGAAATCACAGTCCAAAGCAACAAAGTATGTCACACTATTTCTTTCATTTATTTAGATACCAGCATTAAAGACAGCATGATGCAAGCATTCACAATGCGTTTAACGTCTATGAAGTGATGTATTCCAGCAGTTCTTAACCTTTTTGACTCAAACTCTCCTTGTTGTCGGACGCGATATTTGAAGGCCACATAAGCTAGGATATTTTTTTATATTTCTGCTGTAATTATGACAAAAACTGCTTGTTTTCAAGCTTCTTTTAAACAGAAAGTTAAGAGTTGATATATATATATATATTTAATTTAAAGTTAGTCAGTTTATTTTAATATATTAATCATTTATGTATTTGAATATTTTAAGTGATTTGAAGGCTTCCTGAGGCCCCCTGGTTGAAAACTGCTGATGTATTCTGAGTTGTAATATATCACTGAAAATAGTGATATTTGATTTGATCTATTAGTATTGATTGGATTTCTGAAAGTCACTTGTGACGTTATTGTGGTTATTGCAAACACCACTATAATTCAGAATTCGTCTGAACATTATATTTTCAGAACTTGTTCTGCATTTTGGCCTGCAGATAAATAATAATCATGCATTGATTTACAGAAAATAAATTGAGTCAATCTCTGTTTGTTCTGTTTTTTACCCTTTATGATTAAATTTATAAAAATGGTTTCATTTTGTATTTTGATGCTGTAATGTTTCCATAATGTAATGTTAACCAGGAGAATTTTTCTATAGGAATTTCAACTTGTTGTCGTTTGGCGAGGAGGCCGAGGAAGATGAGGAGATGGCCAGTCAAGTCAGCCAGGTAGCTTTCTGTCCAATGAGAGGATTCAATGATTATTCATGTGTGTGAAAATGAGCAGTAGGAGCTTTCACCATTATTTCATTCATCCTTGCAGACCTTGAAAGGAAAAAGCAAAAGCAGTCATGACCTGCTGAAGGATGATCCCAAGTTAAGCTCTGTTCCTGTCGTTGACAGGTCGGGAAAAAACCTTAGACTTCACATAAATAATTCCGCTTTCTATTGTAATGGCTTTGTTTCATTATGCAGATGCAATCCATAATTAATGTAAAAACAGTTTATTTAAAACTCTATTTTTGTTTTTTTGTATGTAAAGGAACCAAAGTGGCGGAGATGATTTTGAGGTACGTTCTCTTTGGTTTGTGTTCAAATGAAACTGTGATACTGTGATGCAAGTCTGTGTCTGTTATCTGCTCCAGGACGCAGGTGATGATTCAGAGGACGACAGCGATCTAGAATCAGAGAGGGAGCGGATCCGAGAGAACATCTCACAGAAACTAAAGAAAGACAAGACGGATGAGAAGTCGTTCAATCCAGACACGGTGAAGAAGACTTCCCGCAGGTATGCCGTCCATCTTGCTGCTGATTTCCCTTCTGAGTTTTCTGGGGGTTTTCATTTGTACATCAGGGACACCCAATCTTGCTTCTGAATTGTTTAGCTCCAACACACCTCAACCAGCTAATCAAAGCGTTTCAGAGTGCTTCAGAGAAACTTCCATGCAAGTGCGTTGGAGCTGAACTCTGCAGGATACTACTGCTGTATGTAAAATGATAGAGCAGTTAAAGTGGTGTCCAGCAGAAGGCACTGTTGCTCTATTAAGTTCAGACACACGGTCTCTCCAAGGATGGGGATGAGTTCCTTTGGCATTAGTGTCACGAAATGTTTTATGTGTTCTTTGTGTTCTCCTGAACTGGGCTGCAGCCTCACACCCCTGTTGTTTAAATATTTTTTTCCTATTCCAGGTTAATATGACAGCTTTATGTAAGCTAACACATTTAGATATTTCTGCTGGTTTAATGGTTCGAACTCTTAGTGATGTTTTATAAGGTTATTGTTTCTATATGGCCAGTAAAGAAGAATCTGATGGGTTGATACAACACAGTCCTTTAAAACAGTGGTTCCCAACCCTGGTCCTTGAGGCACCCCAAAACTGCACATTTTGCATGTCTCCTTTCTCTGACACTCCAGTTTCAGGTCTTGGAGTCTCTACTAATGAGATGATGACCTGAATCAGGTGTGTTTGATTAAGAAGACATGCAAAACCTGCAGTGGACCAGGGTTGGGGTTGGGAACCACTGCTTTAAAACACTCATTTTCAATCCCTGCTCTGAAATGATCTTTTACCGGCCAGTTGCAAATTAATCCAATAATTAATCCATTTTGCTTCCTCCAGTGAAAAAGTCATCTGAATCAGGAGAGAAATATGCACAGACATGATCTGTGCTGTAAAAAAGTTGACCTTGAACTTCAGAAAACAATGCAACTTATTACAATCAGCTTGTTTAGTTAAAGGTCCCCTGAAATGCTTAGAAACACGCAGCGTTACTCTGTGTTGACGTCATTTTAACTGAAACAGGAAGACAGGGCGGGACATATCAAGCAGCCCCGCCCCTTTTTAAAATAGCCAATAGCGTTTGCTTATATCACGGCTTGGGCTAGAGCCGTTCAGAGCCGTTGTGCTCTGTAAAGCCGCATTTGAAAGGGTATGCCAGCCACAATCTCATCCATATTGCTATAAAATATAGCATTCTGTAGACAGGGCGGGACATATCAAGCAGCCCCGCCCCTTTTTAAAATAGCCAATAGCATTTGCTTATATCACAGCTTGGGCTAGAGCCGTTCAGAGCTGTTGTGCTCCGTAAAGCCGCATTTGGCAGGGTATGCCAGCCACAATCTCATCCATATTGCTATAAAATATAGCATTCTGTGTAGAATTCAAATCGCTTCAGCGTCTATTTTATACTGAGTGTGTGTGCGGTGCGGTGGTTAGCGTGAAACAGCGCGAAACCAGACTTATTTTTTTCCTCAATGGAAAGCATATTTACACTGTTTGAATCGTTCCCTGTCCCCTATATAGTGCACTACGTGCCATTCACTGTACAGAAAATACTCATTCTGTGGATAAGTGACCGATTTCAGTCACGGCTTCAGCGTCTATTTTATACTTGTAGGGGGCGGGGCTTCGGATTCTAGAGAGCATTTGATTGGACAGAAATTTTGATGAGAAGCTGAAGTACGATGTGACGTCAAAAAAATCGTTGAGCCGTTTTGGCGGAAGTGATGAACTAAAAGCTTTGAATGCTTATATCTTCTAAATGCGAATTTTGTCACTGTTTTGGAGCACACTGCCTTATAGATAACCTTAAGACTAACATATTTATACTAACAACCAAAAAACTTTAGTTTTGATTTCATGGGGACTTTAACTCCACTAACAACTGACAGGTTCAGTACTTCTGTTCTTCTAACAAGTAACAAACCGTCTATTGAATTTTAGAAATATTGTTATGGCAATTAAAAATTGTTTAGCATTTAGCAATGCAAGGAGCACTTTTACGCTTGATTGCTAAATGCGAATTTTGTCACTGTTTTGGAGCACACTGCCTTATAGATAACCTTAAGACTAACATATTGATACTAACAACCAAAAAACTTTAGTTTTGATTTCATGGGGACTTTAACTCCACTAACAACTGACAGGTTCAGTACTTCTGTTCTTCTAACAAGTAACAAACAGTCTATTGAATTTTAGAAATATTGTTATGGCAATTAAAAATGGTTTAGCATTTAGCAATGCAAGGAGCACTTTTACGCTTGATTTTCCTCTTAAAACTAAAGGCAAACATATTACCCTGGTAGACAAATATATTAAATGCAACAGTTTCAGTGAGATATACCTCAACACACAAATCACAAAGACGTTGATGATCACCAAATGCTAATTCAGTAAAAATATGAACTCTAAACTCTCATTCTAGAATATAGATAGAATTTGCTTTAGTGTTTTAAAGAGAATTAATTGTGGCAGGTTTTAGCTGTGTAAATGGCTATTGCTAGTACTTGTAACTACAACTTTAATTTTCATGGTAAATCACAGATTAAAAACCAAGGGGAGCACGAAGTGGAAATACATAAAGCCCACAATAGCAGTTGAATACAGTTGAGTTTCATCTCACTGTGATCTGAGAGGGTTGTCTGCTTGACCAGACCTCTGGTTGCTGATGTTGCTAAAGACCAGTGACACCTGCAGTCAAGCAGAACTGTGGCACAGTTGCTCCTCATCCTCACTGGAGCCGCTTCAGTGGACACAGCCAGGTCCCTCAAGGTGAAGCACATATCTGGCTCACAAATCAAATTACTCGGAAAACGGCTCCCTCCTGCCAACCTGGCAACCCCAGCACTAGTCCTCCTGAGACACGAGACCTTATCATTTTCTGTCTTACATCAGAGAAATTAATTGTAAACATGCTTCTGGAATCATTTTTATCTGAAAGCTGGCACTGTGGCGTTTCTTCTAGAGCTGTTGTTGACTTTGCTCTGTGCCCAAAGATGCTTCATATCCTTGCGTTCATTTTGTTAATTGCAAAAACAGAGACGCTGCTCAGGGTTGGTTGGAAAATTTGGAAACCAAAGAGTTTGATGAATCCCTGAAAAAGAATAGCATAATTTTATGGTACCACAAATACTGACCTAAAGATATAAGCTCTTAAAACTAGTCAAGGGTCAGTTCTTTTCAGATTTAATAAAGCAAAGGATTTTTGATGAGAAAAGTCAAAGTGACTGAGGTAATTGTTTAATGTTTGCCTTTTCTAAACTGGCCACAAGCATGGTGTGGGGGGTTGCTGGGCCATTGCTTATCAAAGTCCACATCCAGGTCCCCCGCGCTGTTCTTGTTAAAGCAATGATTCATTTTCATGTTACAGCTGATAACTGATCAAACATTTACATTCAAATTCTACACTATTTTGTCAAAATAAAATAAATGCTAAAAGTGAATTTGCAAGATTGTTTAACAGTGTTGTTGAATTGTTAGTGTTTTTAGTTAACATTAGATAAACGATCAAAATGTAAAAATAGGTATGAGCATGTACATTACTGTTTAAAAGTTTGGGATCAATAAGGTTTATTTTTATTTATATTTGAAATGAAATCAATAATTTTATTATGTAAGGATGCATTAAATTGATCAAAATTTAAAGCATAGGCATTTATAATGTTACAAAAGGTTTCTGTTTCAAATAAATGCTGTTCTTTTGAGTATGAAAATATGAAGTAGCACAACTGTTTTCAACATTGATAATAATCAGAAATATTTTTGAACAAATCAGAATATTAGAATGATTTCTGAAGGATCATGCGACACTGAAAATTCAGCTTTGATCACAGAAATAAAGTACATTTTAATATATATTCAAATAGAAAACAGTTATTTTAAATTGCCATAATATTTCACAATACTTATTCACAGTCATTTATTTGACTGTATTTTTGATAAAAAAAGTCACCCCAAACTTTTGAATGGTAATGTACAATTGCATATTTTGTATTTCATAATGCATGTCTAACGCAAATTTAAAAAAAATAAATAATAATAATCTGTGATATTAGCCACTAACCAGTATGTTACTGATATGTTGTGAATAACTATATAAAATACACTTAGTTAAGCTTAAGATTAGCAAAATAAAAGACTTTTGAAAAGGAGATAAACATCATTTGTTCCTGGTAAACTATGCGTGTCCAAATATTAACTTCAATATCAAAGTTACGTGACAGGTTATGGCAAGTTATGTGCCAAAATGTACTACTTTAGATAAAGGGTTTGTTTGAATCCCTGACTGTGACCAAAACTTCAAGTATCAAATCCACTGAAGTGCCTTATTTTTGTGGGAGATTTTAGAGTTATATGCTTTTGCGCATCAAGTCAAATTCCCTGTATAGACTCAAACCTTGTACCGTCTCATCTTTAAAACCCATTTTTCAAATCCTCTCTCACATCAGACTCATTGGCCCAGTCGCATCTCTTTCTCTTTCATGTGATCCTTGAAATCAGCGTGTGACCTTTGAAAATGTGGGGATTAAAGGATTCATAACCTCACCACTGACTGAGGCACTAAAGGAGGAGAAAACTCTTCTCTGCAAGCCCCCTTTTCTGGAAGCACACCTGCCTTATCTCACCATCGGCCGTTATGTGTCTGGATAATTTTCCGATCATAATAAACATGCTCTTTTCTTTTCCTACATAATGAAGTAATGGCCAAACCCACCGAGTCTCACCGCTTTGATTGACAGGAAGCAAAATGCAGAAAGACTGTAGTATATTAAACACAAGCATGGTGTTTGGCTACAAGAACTGTAACCCAACACAGTGGTTTGTCTTGGCTTGCAATCAAAGAGTTGGCTGGTAGGTAGAGTGTTGGTGCAAGACAAAGGCAGCATTGTTGCAGCCCAGAGCTCTTTCCCACTCAGGCTTACAGGAGCTTATAGGTGAAGGGAGAAGCTTTGGTTGCCAGTCACCTGGAAGGAAGCACAGGCTGTAGGACGGATCTGATGTTGCTTGC